TTATTATTATTATTATTATTTTAGTATGGTACTACCCTCTTCTGATAGATTGGTAAAAGAACTCATTCAAGGGGGTGTTATTTAAAAATAGCATTGGCAAACTGGAAAATTATGAGAAAGTGGGACAGTTAGGAGAGAGAATTTTGAAAACAATGTCAGAGTGCATGAATTAAACTCACCCAACAGATCTAGGACTAAACAACACCTCAGGTTTTATGGACAACCCCATTTATGTGAATTCATGACATAGGAAAAAACCAAAATGTAGTTTTCAACGATTTTTTTCTACCCTGCAGAAGTCAGACTGAGGAAGTTGCAAATTAGGTAGTTTTCAATGGAAAATTTTCTTTTTTGCTCCTATTCAGAAAAATTTTAGACGACATATAAGAAATTTTTTAGAAATTCATCAGTAGGCAGGCAGTGATATTGTTGTTTATGATGGCACAGCTACATGTGATGATATGGGAGATTATGATTTGTAAATTAGTACCCAAATGGAATCAAGTAAATTACCAGCAAAGCCTTATCCGTAATCAAATTGCAATTAGCACTATACACAACCTGCACATTGGATTTAGGCAGCAAAATCCGGAATCCAGGAGCCTGATCATCTCCTTTTTCATGGATCGAATTGAGATCTCCAATTTATGATTGACGAAGTAGCGCAATGCAATGTTGTGAACTGAAATCGAGATCTCCACTTTATCTAGGAAATAGATAGGATCAAAAAAATAATTGATATGCCTTTTATTGCTTGAAATGGAGATTGTTTATAAATACTTTTGATGTAATCATGTTCAATTCTATACCTTCTTATTGTAAAGTTAGAATTTTATTTGTGTTGCAAAGTTGATGTTGTGTTAGAATTTAAATCTGTTATGGATTTAAAACAGACTGAGGTGGCTTCTACTGATTGGTTAGTGTTGTGGGCCGACTTTAGCATTGACCAAATAATGCAAGCCACCTCAGACGATTGCAAGTCAGCCTTGAAAAGACTATGTTCTCACATTATGTCAATGATCCCATGTCTTTCTTTTTGAGGATGGTGACAAAGTCCATTTGTTGGATAACATGGAATCATATGAAATGAAAAGAAATTTTAGGAGGCAATATAGACCACATGATTATTCGAATTAAGAAGAAAAATATTATTAGCATATAAAATTGAGGGTAGTAAAGGAAGGAGCACCAACTTTCTTAAAATTAAAGAATATATGTCTAGTGTGGTTTAATTTCTCTATCAAGATGGTGACAAGTCCATTTTTGTGGTACTATGGAGCATGGAATCACATGATGGGAAATAAAGTTCTAATACAAAAGTTGGTCTTTGTTTCGTCTAGCAATTCATAGGTTTCATTTTCTAATTTGTCATGTTGAAAATCTCCTAGCACATTATCAGTTTCTACATTTCCAGATGAATAAACTATTTGTGCTTGGAATGCATGAGAATGGCAGTGGAGAACTTAACTAGGTGACCTGCCCCAACCCAACACATATCTATTTACATATATAGTTATGGTCTGGTTAATATTACTTTTTCAGAACCAGGATTGGCTCATGGTCTGGGCTGTGATGTGGATGCTTTTCAATATGATCAAGTTTCGTAAGCCTTGCACGACTTGAGATAACATGATGGTAGCAAAGCAAAGCAACAACTTTGATCCTCGTGCTGCTGCTGCTAATTTTCCTTCAGGTAATGGACTTTCTAATTTTACCATCAGATTCTCAAGTAATGGCCTGTAGAAGAAACCCCAGAGATAACTCCAACTGTTGATGAAGCTGTGCTCTCACCAGTCAATCAAGACACTATCACTCCACTACCTTCTGAATCGGACACCATGGAACCCAAAGAAATGTTACTATCAGATGAAGAAAAAGAGAGGAACTCAGCAGAAGAAGAGAAGCTGGAGGAGTCGCCCATCGACGAGGAAGCTGCCCACAATTCCTCTGTTGTTCCAGCCATCTCTATTGTTGTCCGCCAATTTGGTCGCTTTCTTCGTGAACTATCTCACAGTACTCAATCTGCTGCTGCTGTCGCTGCCTCAATTGCTGAGGTTTGTTGGCACATAGTGAAGGTATAGGTATAGTGGTTGCAAATTAAAACCACACCCCAAAATAACATTCAAATTAACTGTCTAGTTTTGTTAATCACTCTGTTTTTAGTTTTTTTAGAGGGAATCTCTAAGTTCTATGGAAAATGATATAATATATTGTTATTGAAATAATGACATTTAAAGTTATTTGAGGAAAAAATTGAAATTGTTTCACGTGTATTTATTTTGTTTTATTTCAAGGACTCTGCTGCAGAGCTCTTCATGAGCATCTTCATACTATCTATCTTTGCTCTAATTAGTAATATAGAATTCAACTGTTGATTCACTGGAATTGTTTTCAGTGTTTTTAGTTTTTGGTTTCTTCTTTTGCTTTTAAGTTATGATTTTAGGGGATATGGTTAGATTTCTGAAGACAGTTTTTGGGTTAGGATTTATTTTATTTTATTTTTTATTTTGTTATTAATTTTCATCACCTTTGGATACTCTGACCATTTTAATTATTTTCTTGTGTATCAGACTTCAATATAGTAATAATATCCTTCTGAGGTGGTCCACTTGTCCTCATGAGCTAAGTTGACCCTGTTTCTTCTATCTTTTGTGTTGTTGAATAGCTTTGACAATTTTATGCAACTTGTGATTGGTACATTATTAACACCCATGAGCTGAGTTGAGCTAACATGGAGCTGAGCTGCACCTTTGGACTCCATTTCGTCTTTGCTTGCCAATTGCTCCTCCTCCAACCACTCCTCTCTGCCCTAGGTAACATTGTCCCACTTCGTTCTCTTTTTCTTCAACCTTCGAATTAATTTCACTTATAGATGATTCGACTTTAAGTTCAATCTTGTACAAAATATTTGTGGTTAATCCACTATATTGAGCTTTATAAATATATATATATATATATATATATGTGTGTGTGTGTGTGTGTGTGTATGTGTGTGTGTACTAGAATGTGTGCACACCTGATGGGTGATATGAAAATAAAAAATATATGTGGGGAAAAAAAATAGAAGAAGTTACAAAAATTTGAAATTTAAACTAGGCCTCAACTATATAGTTGGAGATATGAGTCTTGGCTTTCTGTGATATTATGCTCGACAGAGCAATGATTTTTGTTTTTTTGGAATACATTTTGCTATGCAACTTTTTGTTCTCACTTGCTAAATGTCGACAATACGTTTTAGAGATGGTTTTGTTTATCCTATCAAAGTTATCATTTTACTTACCCAACTTCTACTGCATAATCCGATTCATCTATTTATTATTAGGATATAAAAGCATACCTCATCAAGATAACTAAATGTCATTCGTTATCATCACTATCATAGTTCGTTTGCTCCACTTAGCTCAACACAACAATGCACCAATTTTACTTGTTAGTTTGACTTAATGAATCCTTTTCTAGAAAGCTTTTTGAAGAGCAATATCCTCAATCAAATTCATGGCCATTATGCCCTTTCCTACTAACCCTCACATGCTCAATTTCCTCATCCTCTTATACTCAACTTTGGTTGTGTATTTTTGTTTAACTATAAGACACTAACTAAGCACAATAAAGATAAGTGTTGTCCCTTTTCTCTGTGTAATGGATACTTGACAGTCAACTTTTGAGCTTGTTAGATGTGTGTCTTCTTACATTTTCATATTCCTTACTTATATTGCTTGCATGTAAATCAAGTGCTTAAGGCCATGCGAGAGTTGGATTTTACTAAACCTGCAATTTTTGCTATGTCAAATCCAACATTGAATGGTTTGTCTTTACAAGACCTCTAAATTAACCATATTTTACTTATAGAACTCCCAATTTCTCTATTGAACATAGTATTTGCATATACTTTGGTGCAGCTAAATGCACTTTTGTTGATGCTTTCAAGCATGCTAGAGAACATATAGTTTTTGCAAGTGGGACCCTTTTAAACATGTTGACCTTGGTATTGTTTCTTTCTCTTGATGATAACTTATTATGAAGTGTTTTGGCACAATATCATTAAATTCATTGGTTTCACTCAACTCATGCAATACATAGCCAATGCATCCAACACTTCTGTACTCCTCATACCTTCCTTTGTTGTCCAATTACTCTATCATCCAATATATTTCCCTTTGCGTCCTTTCTTCCATTTGGTGGGAAATGAACTTTTTGAGGCGTAGAATTAAAATGAGTAAGAGAAACAAAAGAAATAAAACATGTAAGATTATTAAGGGACGAGGAACACTGGGCTGCACTAGAAAATTAGAGAAACAATAATAATGAGGCATATCCATCCAAAAATTCTCTTTAGACTCAGCTAACCTCCATATACAAATGGACCAGCTTTCAAACTATTGACATATGAATCTTGCGTTGCACTTATAATGGGACTGTGTAACATACTGTCCTCACAACTTTTATAACATGAGATATAGTAATAACTTTTATGACAAGTTCAAAAATTCTCTTTAGACTCAACTTTTCTGGTGATATGAAGCATACTTCAGGCATTGGGATTTGCCATGGCAAGTTCAATCAATGCTGTCGTTTCCCTTCATTCTATGATTGCTGCCACAAAATGTCTTATAAGATGTTTTAGGGTTAATTCAAAAAAAATTAGATCTTGCCTATGTTGAATTAGCGTTAGCAACTGAGTGCAATACCAAGCTAAGAAGGATGGTGGGCGTCGTAGGACGAGATGGTGGGACCTAAAAGGGAATAAATTAGAAATATTTAAGAATAGAATGGATAAGGATGGTACTTGGGAGTTGGAAGATGATGCTAACACTATGTGGAACTCGATGACCAACTGTATGAGGAGAATCTCAAGAGAAGTGCTTGGAGAGTCGAAAAGGATGGGACCCAAATCTAGGGAAACTTGGTGGTGGATGGAAGAGGTTCAAGCAGTAGTTAAGGCAAAAAAAGAGTGCTTTAAAAAGTGGCAGAAGGATAGAACTGAGGAAAACCTTAAGAATTGTAGATTGGCTAATAAAGAGGTCAAAAAAGTGGTGAGAGAGGCTAAGTTGAAAGCTTATGATGACCTATACACTAGACTAGATAGTAAGGAATGAGAAAAGAGGGTATACAAACTTGCTAAGATACGGGAGAGGAAAACAAGAAATTTTAATCAAGTTAAGTGCATCAAGAGTGAGGATTCTAAAGTATTGGTGAAAGATGAAGAGATTAAGGAAAGATGGAAGAACTATTTTGAGAAACTATTAAATGAGGAATATGGAGATACAGCAATAGGGGAAGAAATAGCCAGTAATACGATAAACCAAGATTATAGGTTCTATCACTGGATTAGGAATTTTGAAGTGGAGATTGCACTTAAGAAGATGAAATCAGATAAGGCTTTATGACCCAATAATATCCCTATTAAAGCTTGGAAGTGTTTGGGTAAAAAGAGGGTTGCTTGGTTGACTAGGTTGTTTAGCAAAATCTTGTTGACTAGGAACATGCCAGATGAGCGGAGGAAGAGTATTTTAGTGCCAATTTATAAGAATAAAAGAGATGTCCAGAATTGTAATAACTATAGAGGAATCAAGCTAATGTGTCATAAAATGAAAGTATAGGAGAGGGTGATAGAACATAGATTACGAGATATAACAGAGGTGTCAGAGAATCAATTTGGGTTTATACCTGGCAGGTCAACAATGGAAGCAATTTATCTTTTGAGGAGAGTAATAGAAAAGTATAGAGAAAAGAAAAGAGATATTCATATGGTATTTATGGACCTTGAGAAAGCATATGATGGAGTGCCCCGGGATATAATATAGTGGGTGTTAGAGAAGAAATGGCTGACAAAAGGTTACATTGATGTGATTAGGGACATATATAAAGGGGTGGTAACCACTATTAGATCACCTGCTGGAGAGACAAATGAATTTCCTACCACTGTAGGGTTACACCAAGGATCTACCTTAAGTCCTTATCTTTTTGCTTTAGTTATGAATGAGTTGACGAGAAATATTCAGGATGACGTGCCATGGTGTATACTTTTTGCAGACGATATTGTGCTAGTAAATTAGACTAGAGAAAGAGTTAACACAAAGTTGGAGACTTGGAGAAAAGCTCTTGAATCTAAAGGATTCCGGATAAGTAGAACTAAGACAGAGTACATAGAGTGTAAATTTAGTAACAGTAACAATGAAAGCAGAGGAGAAGTGAAGATTGAGAACCACGAACTGCCTAAGAGTGAACATTTTCGTTATTTAGGGTCAATTGTCACAACAGTGGGGGAGATTGATGCGGATGTGGCCCATAGGATTAAGGCGAGATGGTGTAAGTAGAGAAGTGCGTCTGGGGTACTGTGCGATAAACGAATACCCACTAGACTAAAAGGTAAGTTCTATAGAATGGCTATTAGACCAGCGATGTTGTATGGGACGGAGTGTTGGGAAACCAAGAAACAACATGTAGATAAGATGAGTGCAGCTGAGATGAGGATGCCCAGGTGGATGTGTGGCAAGACTATACAAGACAAGACAAGACAAAATTAGGAATTAGTGTATTTCAGAATGGGTAAGAGTAGCACCAATAGAAGATAAGTTGAGAGAGAATCGATTGAGATCGTTTTCTCACATTCAACGGAGACCAATACAGGCTATAATGAAGAGATGCGGTGCTGTAACGGTAGATGGGAGTGTTAAGGGACGAGGTAGGCCTAGATTTGGCTAGCATTGTAAATAGAGATATGGATCTACTTAATTTGACAAACGAAATGGCCTTTGATAAGGCCACATGGAGAAGAAGGATTCATGTAGTCGACCCCATTTGATGGGACTTAAGACATGGTTTTGTTTGGTTTAACAGAGTCAAATGTAAATGTCTATCCAAGGATGGACAAAGAATCATTAGTAGTTTTTTGAACTATCAAATCTCCTTCTTCCTCATCATTACTTGGTTATTTTATTAGCAATTATTTGTGACAACTGTGTTAATTGTTATCAGTCGTGTTGGTTATCTTATTTCTCTGCCAAGATTTGATAAAAGGTTGATGCCATAGGACTACCATAGCTTTGTCTCAGGATCTATTGGTTAGTAATCCAAAATTACAAGT